TTGGCACTGAAGGCAATATATCTTGATGGAAGAACTCATCAATGGTGCTACTCTGGCCTATCAACTACAAACAGGTACGTGCAGGATTGTAGTGAAGTGATATTGACTTGCACTAAGGGCAATAGTATATCTGAATGGAAAAATATATTATTGAAATTAATCTGTTCAATGTTCATCTTAAAATTACAATCGTTGTGCAGATTTTAATGATATGCACATGGATGTGAAAACAGCTTAGCTCTAGTTATTTGTTTCACATAGACATTCACTGATATGATTTCAATTTACAGATTTACAACATATGTACCTACAAAGCCTGCATCAGAAGAGGATGGAATCTCCTGCAGTGCATGCTTACAAAAATAAATACAAAATGATCTATAACGATCACAGTGATCATGATGATATATTCTCACAAGTACCCCAACAAGATCACACCTATGAAGAAGATAGCTTTGTTGTGGACGAGGTGACTAACAGTTGCCTTGACGATGAGTTTAACTACACCATCAACCCAGCCAATATTTTACATGGTAAACGAAACACTCGATGCAGGCCTGCGTTACCCAACATAAAAGATACCGGTATAGAAGCAGAAAGAAGCAGAAAGCCGAAAAGAAGGAGAATTATCCTTCAAGATTCTTCCAGTGATGAAGATGTGGTTGTACCAAATATGTTGAAATCCTGTACAAGTAATAAATCTGTCTTTGCCACACCCAAAGTGACTCCTCAGTTACAACGTTTTGCTAGCCATACTGCAGTGCATAAGAGAAATCAAATTAATTCAGGGGTTATTACTGGTGATGTGAGAATCATGTCATCTAAATCGGCATCTTTGAAGCCTGGAATGAACGATGTGCATCTCACCAAAGAACAATTTGAGAGGGAGGAGAGACTAAAAAGGCAGAAGGAAAAACAGATGCAGTTTAAAAAAATAGCAGAAGAAAAACGTAAACTTGGACAGATGACTAACGTATCACCACCTGGGGCAGTGCAATTAGAGCAGACATTTACAAATGCAAACTTTGACTTAATGGTAAGTGAAACTATGGCAACATCCAAACCATCAAGAATTAACATGATCCAATCAAATGTAAATTTTACTTGTTATAATTGTTTCTGTTTGAAAAGTTATTTTAAATTTACTAAGTATTCTTTCTGACTAAGCATTTATTTTAATATGTTTATTGTATAAAACAATACAATTTGGTTACAGAATATAAATTGTCTGGATGAATTCTGTGTTCATTTCTGAATTTTTGTCCAATGAGATGTCTCACTTAGATATTAATTTGTATGTAATTTGCATAATACGCTTTCTTTTTGTGAGAAAAAGTACTGTTTTACATTCTCTCTATTTTTCATGTTTCTTCACCAGCCGCAATATCTTTCCAATAAAGAAAGTGAAAAGTTAACTGTCTTGGTTGACTCTCGTGAAATTGGTTCCTCTAATATAGCCTCAAGATTACGGATTATTTACAACATGAATATTCATGTGCATCAACTCAAAGGTTGTGATTATATTATAAGTCGACGAATGGGGGTCGAAAGAAGAACCATGTCAGGTAAGTTTTCACATCATCACAGATCTTTATTATCATAATTGTACATAATTCCTGAGAAATGGTTATAGTGTTATTCTTTTCTCTCTTTGCTGTAGGGTTCCCCAAATATTTCGTTCATTTGATCTAAAAGTAAAAATAATAAACTGTGGAATTCCCTATTTGACTAAACAATAAGTAAAGCACCTTTGACTTTTGAGAGTTCACACAAATACCATAATTATTATGATTCTAACTAATGTTCAACTTTTCTTTATGTATATTGGACATGTGCTTCTAATATAGTAAACACAGTATTCCTTTGTTTATAATTCATGCCTCCAATACCCACAGAGCTCTTTCTATTAAGCTTTCTTGGATTTCTTTTATTTGTAGATTTTGCCAGTTCTGTCAACAGAACAGCATTGTTGGAAAGAATAAGACACCTTTGTGACTTGTATGACAAGCCTTGTCTTATTATAGAAAAGGATAGAATGAAAGCTCACGAAGACAAGCCAAAACAGATGTAAGTTGTTAGTAATATAAACATGTATGCACATCTCATTCCATGGTACTAACCAGACCATTACAGGATACTAACCATACCATTACAGGATACTAACCATACCATACCATCACATAATATTAACACTATTATTAACCCAAAATAACCAAATCATTACATTACTAACCAAACCATTACAGGATACTAACCAAACCATTACATAATACTAACACTATCATTAACCAAAAAATAACCAAATCATTACATGGTACTAACCGTACCATTACATAATACTAACACTATCATTAACCAAAAAATAACCAAATCATTACATGGTACTAACCGTACCATTACATATACTAACACTATCATTAACCAAAAAATAACCAAATCATTACATGGTACTAACCAAACTATTACATAATACTAACACTATTGTTAACCCAAAATAACCAAATCATTACATTACTAACCAAACTATTACATAATACTAACACTATCATTAACCAAAAAATAACCAAACCATTACATGGTACTAACCAAACTATTACATAATACTAACACTATCATTAACCAAAAATAACCAAATCATTACATTACTAACCAAACTATTACATAATACTAACACTATCATTAACCAAAAAATAACCAAATCATTACATGGTACTAACCAAACTATTACATAATACTAACACTATCATTAACCAAAAATAACCAAATCATTACATTACTAACCAAACTATTACATAATACTAACACTATCATTAACCAAAAAATAACCAAATCATTACATGGTACTAACCAAACTATTACATAATACTAACACTATCATTAACCAAAAATAACCAAATCATTACATTACTAACCAAACTATTACATAATACTAACACTATCATTAACCAAAAAATAACCAAATCATTACATGGTACTAACCAAACTATTACATAATACTAACACTATCATTAACCAAAAAATAACCAAACCATTACATGGTACTAACCGAAATGCTGAATTGTTTGAGTTACGGACACCGAGTTATGAACATCAAGTTTGGTTAACAGTTAATTAAAATTCAAGCTAAAATTTGAACGTCAAACAAAATCTATGTTGTCTGTAAGTCGAAGTTCGGTTAACTGTTCATTAAAGTTTGAGTTACTAAATGTGAACAATCAACAAAAACAAAAATATATATTGCCTGTAACTAAAAATTCTGCTAACTGTTAATTGAACATTGAGTTACAATTTGGGCGTGGTTTCTCAATAGTGGGCGTGGTTTTTGACTCCCGTGTGCGAAGCACAAAAGGGAGTCTTTGCAGTTACCCTGTCTGTATGTCTGTATGTATGTATGTATGTCACTTTTTTTGTTCCATCGTTATCTCAAGAACCACTAATCAAATTTTGGTGAAACTTGGTACATAGATGCTCTGGGATAATGCGCAGAGCTGATTAGGTTTTGGTAAAAATCTATGAATATTAATTACCTAATTTGCATGATAATTAGCTGATTTTTAGCTGTTCCAAGACTGTTCCACAGATATCTGAAGAACCACTCATTGGATTTTGATGAAACTTGGCACATGGATGCTCTGAACTAGTACACAGAATTGATTAGTTTTGGGTAAAAATCTATGAGTATTAATTACCTAATTTGAATGATAATTAACTGATTTCAAGCTGTTCCATGACTGGTCCACTGATATTTGAAGAACCACTCATTGGATTTTGATGAAACTTGGCACATGGATGCTCTGAACTAATGCGCAGATTTGATTAGTTTTGGGTAAAAATCTGTTAATATTATTAATTACCTAATTTACATAATGATTAATCAATTTTCGGCTTTTCCACTGATATCTCAAGTACTAATCATAACATTTCAATAAAACTTGGTACATACAAAAAAAATGTAGATGTCATATGACACTGCACAGACCTAATAGCTTTTAGGGTAATATCAGTACATATTAATTACCTAATTTGCATAATTAATTAATTTTCAGGTTTTGATATTTCGAGTAATAATGAT